GGGAGTTCAAAGGACCAAATGCTGCCGTTAGTCCTTTGAGACCATCTTTTTTTTCTTAAAGGGAATATTAGTGATCTAAGATTTGCAGGAAATAAGTGATATCAGACTCGGGAACTCATCTGTTACAAGTAACGGATTACTTGTAATCCGTTCGTTTTTTAAGTAATTTTGTAATTGCCATGTTACTTTTTTCTGAAGTAATCATAATGTAATTTCGTCGCAAAATAGTGGTAACGAATTGCTTTAATTACTCGTCACTTTTTAAGAAATATGAGCATAATAAAGAAACTGGAGAAATACGAGCAGAACATTCAGCACCAAAAAGAGAGCAAGTTCACTAAGTAGCTAACATCACCAAGGGGAGAATAGCCGAAAAGAAAACACGATCTTTTGTATGACCGGTCTTTATAACCATTAGAAAAACGGGCAAGGCATGTACCAGTATAAGAAGGACAAAGATCAAGTAAGACAAGGCAGAGTAGGCTCTCCGTCGACTCCATCGTGTTTTTCTTCTTCTCCCGGGCACGAGAAAGCTCTTCGTGTTTATTCGTTTTTGTCTTTTACATCGTTTCACCCTTTCCAACTTCTTCGACGTCTCCCGCCACCTGCACAGAGACCAAACGGGGGTCCGTATTTCCTCAAATCGCGGTTTCACAACTAGCGTAACAGATGATGGAGCCTCGCGGCGAGGGGGTCGAATTCTCTTTGTCTTTGATGTGCGCTACACTCCAAAATAAAAGCCCGTGCGTCGGCTTTCCAGCACAACACTCGGAGAGTTATTCACCGCAACTTACAGAGGCAACGCAGCGAATAACGATGCCGAAACATATGTTTAGACCAAAAAACGCAGTCTGAGTTGTGACTTTAGAAATGTAAAAGTGACGTTTTGTATTGCTTAATGTCACAACTCAGACTGCCTTTTTTTTTTTGGTATAAACATATGTTTCGGCATTGTCATTCGCTGAGCTGCGACCGTAAGTTGCAGTGAATGGCTCTTCATGTGTTGTGCGGAAAAGTAGACGCATGGGCTTTTTTTTAGAGTTTATACTGTATTCTAGCACACTCTTGAGGCACGGCTTAAAAGCGTCCGGCGCGAGGCTACGAGCATCGTCTTCGAGGGTACGGACGATATTTCTTTTGGTTTACTTGCGTGGGCATGGTGGTGGAGTCCACCCCTCACTTTACAGCCAACTTTCCACATAAAGGGGGGGGGGGGGGGGGGGGGTTAAGCCATCTAAGGAGTGCTGACAGAGATAGAGAATGCGTAAAAGTGGTGTGATCCTCTATTGTTTTGTGATACCGAAGGCCACCGCCTCTCTCACTCTCTATGCCCTCCCCTGGCCTCCCCTAATTTTTGTATCAAACTGAGAACCGATGAACGATTGATAACCCGTAACCGTCACTTTTTCTCTAACTGGTCGAGTTTTCGGTTATGAAGTGTCCGTCGTCTTATGGCCATCTCCCAATTAGATGTTCGAAATTCAGAGCATTAAGGAGAAGGGAAACCTAGAGTTTCAGTGCATGCATTGCTTGCCAAAAAAACAACACGCGGTCATCAGCAAGAACGACGAGCTGTAATCTACGGAAACACATCAGGGTAGGATGGGGCACCTTCATTCTGCATTGGCTATACATTGTAACGTTAGAACCAAGCTTTTCTTGTCTTATGAATAATAGGCGAAACACCCGAGTCGAAAGGGAGCTTTCGTAGGTCGCTTCATTAGCTCCGAATCTCGTAGCGGAGGTAGACGCTGCTACTGAGCATGCGCACCGCTAGCTTTGTCTGCACAATTCCAGAGATTAGTTCCGGATTTTCGTAAGCTAGTGGGATGGCGGGTGGGGTTCCAGCTTTCGGTGCCTCGTCGGCTTACAGGTGAACGAAGTGCACCTACACTAGTATCTCAAACACAATATTTCGTTTTTACAAGGACTAGCATAATACGGGCGTATGAGAAATTAAAAGTAGTGTTGGAGAACATGTTTTTTTTAGATATCAAAATTGTGTTTATTGATTTCTGGATAAGTGTAAGGAAAAAGTAACGCGAAAGTAATTTGTAACGTAACGAGTAAAGTAATCCGTTACTTTTCAGCGAAAGTAATTTCTAACGGTAATCCATTACAATTGAGGCTCGGGAATTTGTAATTGTAATCCATGACATTTTTCAAGTAACGAGCACAAGTGACACAAACATTGAAGCAGCACGGCCTCGTTATCGAGGAGGTGTTGGCCATAATCTAGCTCAAACATGAAAAGGGCGCCGAAAGCAACAAACCGTGCAGATCTACGAGTGCGCGTCATGCCTGCGCCCTTTAACCCGAGCGTATGGCCCAGGAGTATTGTTCTTCTACCAGATGGGTTCGCGGCCCATCGACAACAGCTGCCGTAGCCGCATGTTTACACGTCTTTTGTCGCTCGCCTTCTGACGCTTCTTTTTAACGTTATTGCGTCAAAGTCAGTATGATCAAATAGCGGCGAGGGTCTTTAAATCGACCACAAATGTCGGTTTTTAGCCTATCACGCTACGATTTTGTGCAGCGTTGCCCACGTGTGCTGCATTTCTTCTATACATTTTGCAAAGAGCGAACTTAACTGAGGAAAAAATAAAAAAAGGAAAAGTCTTAACTCCTATTGAAACGCAGCGAAGCCGCCAGTTTAAAAAAATAGGGTGCCCTTTGGCACGGGAGACAAGAGATGGCGCAAGCGGTCGGGACGCCAAACGCCGCCAAGGAACGAGCGTATGGCTTCGAGAGCCGGCGTGAAATAGCAGACAATGTTTTCGACTCAAAAGTGGCGCGAGCTGGTTTGGAGTGTTTCCAACGCATGATTTTATCATCCTTACTATTAAAACTCATTGAATGGACATATTAACACAATGTTTGCTGGGTCATTTTGACTTTTTTGCGAAGTACTTATGGCGTCTGCTTTGCAGCTCCTTGTTATCGTGCCTGCTTTTCGTTCTGCGACTGTTGCTCCTGCGGAACGCGCGCCGCTTTTGAGTCAAAAAGATCGTCTGCTAATGACACCGGCTCTCGGCTCCGTATATATGCTCATTCGTTGCAGCAGTTGGCGTCGCGACCGCTTGCGCCATCTTTTGTCTCCCGTGCCAAACGGTGCCCTACTGTTTAAAGACCGGTGGCTTAGCTGCGTTTTCATAGGAGTTATATGCCTTTTATTTTTATTTTACTTTTTCGTCAGATAAGTTCCCTCTTTCCAAATTTTATAGAAACAAATGCACCACTTATGGGCAACGCCCCACAAAATCGAAACGTGATAGGTTAATAGACCGATTTTCGGGGTCGATTTAAAGAGCCTGGACGCTATTTGAGACTCCCCGTAGAACGCCTGCTACATTTTCGTAGCGCGTCCACTCGGTGGCGATCGCTAGCCTGTCTGCCCGCCCTCTGGACAGAGGCGACGGAAGCGGTGGAACAGTTAATGCACATTGCTTGCGGTGGAAAAGTTATTCTATTGTGGTCTTTATGCTAAACATAAAGTTTACGCAAAGGTTAGCTCTAAAAGAGCGTCGTTCTATAACGGTTTTTGTTTCCGCCGCCTGTAGAGGCATTGCCGCTTGCGGCGCTACGAACGCTATCCGTCTGTTCCTGCTCGCGTGTAGGCACCAGAGAAGAACCATTTTCGGACGCCGCTTTTCCGTGGAGTTAAACAACAGAGACATCTAAAAACATTGTTTTTTTTTTTTTTCTGCCTGAGATACAGTTTTGCGCGTCACAACAGCCCATTTTCCCCACCGAATCGTGTAACACCTAACGTTCATTTTTGCGCAATTGAAAAAAAAAAATCTTTATAAGTTATCTTTAACATAAGATATAAGTACAAAATTTTTATGCGCTAGAAAAAAAAAATAACCCGAAGAAATTAAAGCTAGCAATAAAATTGTAAGAGTTAGTTCTCCAATGAATATGTTCCATTATGCCACGATGTCCATCAGGGACGAAAACGTCGTCTTATCTTGAGTAATCAGTATAAAAAGTCTTGCAAGAACACAATGCCCACTTGAAAAAATAAAAAAAATGTACGTCACCCACAGTTTTAGAAACGCCCGACTTGGTGATCCCCGATCATCCTATTTTAATTCCGCCACCAGTCAGATTGTGGCTTGAGTCAATAAGAACGCCAAATAAAGAAACATGGAGCAATAAGTGCGAATATACAAGCCCCGCCCTGCGCTTCATAAGCTGTCTTAAGCAGCTTAAGCTTTAGCCTAATCCGTTGTGTCTTAGGCGAGATTCAAGTTTTACATAATAACGAAGAGGCTAGCACAAGAAGTGGGCTATCAAACGATGCTGTTTAATTTCATCTAGCACGTCGTATCTTGATCTTTCTTTACCCTGAATTGTATTCGCTTTAATCGCTATATTGAATCAGTGAATTCTTGCAAGGTTTGTTGAACCATGATCCACAAAGAGCCGAATTCGCCTAATTGGTGTGCCCGTGTTAAAGTAGAACTAGACCGTCGTGTACTAAGAAAAAATACATTTGTCAATAAAATGAGATGTCCAGACGGGTAAGTGGTAGTTATAGAAACTACGTGAAAAACAACGATGCAGTGCCGCTAAACATTTATATGCTAATCTAACGCCAGCAACGGTGTGACGTCACATTTCTGGTGCTCTGATGTCTGGTGAAAGCTTCGTGAATTTGTTCATTTTTTTATTAATTGAATAAAAAAATGTTCTGGCAACATCTGACGTAGAGGAAGTTTGCATATATGATATAATGTAAAACAGCAAAAAACTTAACTAGAAACGGAATAAATTAAAAAAACTCAACGCAAAAAGCTATTTTTTTACGTTTCCCCCAGTTTTATCAGTCTGTATATCAGGATTTGCCTTATTTGTTATTTGTTGTGAAGAAATATTGCGCGGGTCTCAGTCAATAAAACAAACTTTAACGCACCTCCAGAGCGTTTGTAGCAGTCCTTGGAAGTTTAAAATCCATCGCAATACCCATCACCAAATTTCTCGCAGGATTGTGTCCTTCAATTGTACTTATAAAATGGGCTTGTGTTTTCTGAATATTTGCAGATTCTTTCAGCCGGATTGAAACACAAGCGGAAATCCTCGGCTGCATATAAGTTATGTTGAATTGTCAATATCTGCACTACATTTGAGCTTATCGTTATTGTGTGTCATTTAGAAATAATAAACATATTGTAATGTTCCGAACTTGGTATTCAACAGATGTGCATTTTTGTTGGGCACATTCATAACGGCCCAGCTATTGTCTATTTTAGCTTGCTTTCCAAGTTAAAGTAGACTGAACAACTTCACAACTGTGGTTCTTCACCTAAGATCTACGAAAGTATTAATGAAAAAAACTTGGATTCACGCACTAACAAGAGTTGTACCTTATTAGTCACTGTCAAGAACCCCATATATTGAAATGCAAAGCGCTTAAGAAGAATAAGCTTTAATTAGTATTAGATAATTCACGTTTTAATTAGTTAAAATTAATATATCGCTTCAGTCACAAACTGTCTAGGCATAATGGAAAACCTAAAAATCTGTCAATTGAAACAATGTTAAAAAATTCACTTAAATTTAGCATTTTAAACGAACCATTAGCTCTAATTAAAGTCAACTTTCTGTGTCAATGGAGCCGAGGCTGCAGAGTCGAATCACGCTAATTCCCAGCGCAGCCGAATATAGTTCAACCAAATTAATTTGCTGAGTGTAACTTACCTAATTAAAAAAGATATAAAATTGTTCTTTTTGGCTTTTATATCACAATTTTACTGTAATATATTAGTCAGAATGTGCTCGGGGAAACCTGGCATCTTCCTCTTCTACATCTAACACTGGTCACACCGGAATATTGCAATGTTAATTTTAATCAAATATATATAAATATATTTAAAAAAAATATCACGGTTTTACAATGCAAAAGGTACTTGCCTAGGCATTCTGACTTGCTATTCTTAAAATTGTGAAATAAATTTTCGTCTTTACCCTTTCGGTCGTCCGGAACCGCGATTTTACAACTTCCGAACCTTGGATTATAGGTCACCATCGAACAATCCCCTTTGTCGCTGCTCGTCAGTGATCGTTTGTAGCACTTTCTTAGAACGTTAGTTTCGGGGCCGGCACGAATGGGAATCTTAAAATAAAAGTACAACGCAAACAACCGCTTTGGACATGATACTTGAGTGAAACTAAAGCTAATCCTGACTTTGCCAATCATTTTCTTACCGGTTTTTATCCCCCCCCCCTCCCTCCCTCCCTCCCTCCCCCTCCTCCCCGTCCCCCCCCTCCCACCCCCCCCCCCCTCCTCCTCCCCTCCCCCCCCCCCGCCCCCCCCCCCCCCCCCCCCAGAGGGCACAATTTCATTAGATATAACGCGTTTAGGGCGCATTCAAACTGGAAGTGGATCCGCGTTCGAGAAGCGGTTGCGGATGCGGTTCGCGAGCGACCCCGTTCAGACACACCGAGAGGCGGTTGGCGGTTTCTCGGCAATCACGCGTGATCTTTTGATACTTGCGTTTGGCAACCTTGTTTTACAATCCAAAATCCACTTTAATTCAAGATCCAAAGCCAAAGTTTTGCTATTTTGGCACTCGGAATATTTTTCTTCGGGATGTTCGGGTGCATCACGAGCTCAAGGAGCGAAAAAAAGAAGCATGGGCCTGCCCAAACTCGCCTGTGATTCCCTCGACTTCGCCCACAAGCAAAGCCCAGCTAGGCGCGCCTTGCTGACTCAGAACAGGATGCCCCCGACCTTTTCTTCGAAGTGGACCCTTCCCGCATGAATAGCTGACCTTGCTTTCGGGATAGAGGGCCAGTTTTTCCCCCTCGTTGTTGTTCGCTCTTATCATTTTCAAAGTTGTGAGCGGTGGGGTGGACCGTGGTGCGGGGGAATGTGTTCGGTGCTAGTCGGTCGTGACTTCGTTGGTGGCGGACTCTCCTCTCGTCACTCACTCGTCGATCGAGTCTACTGTTTGTTCGACATTAAGCTCAAATAAACGCCGTATGGATTACCTCTGCATTGTCTGGTACGTACAGTTTATTCCTTGAGTAGGTTCCCTTTATTTTATTAGTAGTAAACGTTACAGGTCGAGCTAGCGGTATTCTGCCCCCTCCGCGGTAGTGCGTTCGCTACGCAATCAAGCTCACGACGTCTCTATCGGCCTTCGTGGTGATCATGCACGGTGTCGAAAGCTTTCAATAGTTCACGCGACAAACTTAGTGGGTAGAAAAGCTGACATTTCGGTCGATCAGGGGCGGGTTCCGATGTTCTACAGGCTGATATTAACAAGACAGCGAGCTTGGGCTGTGGCACCCGGAATAATAAACAAACTCTTACCCGAACCATTTCACCGGTGCGAAGCCCGTTAAAATTACGAGTCAATTCTTTTCGCGGAGGATTCAAGTGACGGACGTGAGCATCCAGTTTCTCCGTTGATCTGTCGAAAGCTAAGACTACAGCGCTAGGACTACAGCGCCTTGGACGCCTCACCAGCGACAGGTGCCATCTTGTTTCGAAAGTCACTGAAGTCAGCGTCGCGTTGTGATTGGTTGCCGCTTTGCGGTTCGTGAAAGCGGTTGGGAGAAATCGGTCCCGAAGCGGTTGGCGAAAACGCGCTCCAACCGCTCGATCCTAGCCGCTTTGCGGTTGAGAACGCGCGGATCCGCTTCGCGAACGCGGATCCGCTTCCAGTGTGAACGCGCCATTAGAGTGCATATACACAATTCCTTCGCGTACAATTTAACAAAAGAAAAAAGCCGCAACTCAGCCCACCTTTTCGCAAATCATGTCAATAGTCTCTTTTTTACAAGATCCTCCATGCGATACATTCCACCGCATTGAGATCGCCCCCCCCCCCTCCCCCCCTCTCAAAAACTACACCCGAAATGCGAAACACTTGTTATGTTGCTTACCTCTCCACACTTTGTTGCACTCCAATTTGGACGTAAATTTGTTCTCGTTTTCCTTAAATATAGGGTCCCCGAAATAGAGCACGTAACACTTGTCCAGGCTCTTGTAATAAGCCCATCTTCTCACGCACGACCTACCTCGCCCAATGTCCGGCTCGCAAGAACAGACACTTTGGTTCCAGTTTTCGTCACAGTAATCATCGCAGGTGATGTCAGCAACGTCAGTAGGCTCACAGTGCATAAACCCTATCCTTACGGTACGCTCTGTGGAAGATTATTTTTCTCCGTCGATCTCATCAAATCAATTTAGTGCTCATTCAGCAGTTATGATATCTACAACTGCGGAGAACGCACGAGCAATTTTATACGAAGGAAGCAGCGTGTTGTTCTATGCCCCTTTTTGCACCAAGTCCGAGCGCAGACGACTCTACGATTGAAAGGAACCAACAAAGCAACACCAAAAAAAGAATGTATGGTCACGCCCCTCGTCTTTTTTGTTCGTTTTTCATCACCGGCTAACCAATCACGCAGCGTGGATTGGTTAGCCTCACCTCTGTTGGTTCCCGCGCTTTCCTTCTTCGGTGTCAAACGAATTATAGAAAGCTCGCCGAGGAAACCAAAAGCGCGATTTTTTGCTAAACTACATCGTGCACATGATTTGCTTGTTTTTGTTCAGGTTCCTTAAGGTCGAAATAAATTATTCGCGAAAACTGTTGTTCACAAAAAAGAACTTCGATAAAGACATATTTTTTTTTTTTGTAAGGACGCGTAAAAAGTAAAATTTATTCGACCCAGGCACTCTTAATTTGAGAGTGGCCGCGCCCAAGAGCGCACCCCACTGTGGAAGATGGCGGCGCACTGAGTCCTTTAACCTAATATACTTTCAGTTAAACGCATCGAATACAATTAAAGACCCCGAGGAAACAACAAAAAAAGACACCGTGAAAGCCACGTTAACACGAGCCACAAGTGTTTTTTTTGTTTGTTTTTTTATTACAAAAAATAGCTTGTATGTAGAAAAATTGTATAAACGTATGCTCCTTCCATCCTTGAAACATATTATTTATTATCACTTTTCTTGATAATTTTCGAAGCTGTGAGATAGCACGCTTACTTCCTTCGAAAAAAAGAAAGAATTAATAGCAGCGGAAGTAAGGGGACCACTTACTCACCGGGCAGTTGGCAAGGCGTAATTCGCAGTCACGTAGCTCGTATGAAGGTCACGTGTCCATAATGTTCACAGCTTTTAACGAAACGTTGGAACCACATATTTCGGTGGCATAAGAACACGCGATTTCTGCGCACTGTTCCACAGCATCACTCCAGGCTCGTGTATACTCGGACCTTGGGCGCATAGCGACCGCACCGTAGCGCAGAACGCGCGCCTTTCATTGGCTGCCGAGCAGAAACTCGATATCTGCGACCAATCAGCATCTGTGAGCGCGGCGCTGCGCCGCGTTTGCTACGCTCAACGTCGGAGGGTAACAGAGCCTTCAGTGTCCGTAACCGCGGCGTTGAGGGTCCTAGACTTCCTTCGTCCCAGTCTGTTGCAGTGAGGCTGCTCCCGTTGACAGCGCTTCTGATCTGCGGAACGACGCCACAACTAGACTCCACTAATCCAGCTTTTACCACGCATCAACTGAGATAAAAAATGCCGAGTCACTGACCTCCTGACCCATGCGCGGTGTATGATGTTTAACAGAAGGGAGCTACTGCGCACATACACAACGCGTTTCACGGCCTGAGTAGAGGAAGACGACCGTGTGCCGAAGGCGATTGTTGGAATGGTTTATAGAGTCAAGCTCTTCAAAACGAAAGCACTCCATGAAGCCGACGTACCAACCTGCCTTCGAAAATTATCCCCCTTTATAAAAAAAAAAAAGACAGAGCGGCGTTGGCGGACTGCCAAGGAACCCGGTGGATGTTGCGAAGCTCCTCCGCGCTGAGAAAATGCAAAGTCATTGCGACGGCGACGTCCTTCCAGCTATGCTCTGCTTTGTATACTCTACGTTCGAGCGCGACCGACGCTACGACTTGATGGCGCCGCGCGCATCAAGCATCGTCGGTAAAAGTGCTTCGTCACGGCCGCCTTCGTCGTCTCCATGTGATTGCTATCAGCGACGAAACCAAACACAAATGCGGCAAACCCCTGCGCTTTTTTTTTTTTCGTATTCTAAACGGCCGAATTGTAGGCTTCAAGTTCGACGTTTTCCTTGCAAAGTTGCTGGACATCCCTCGGTCTTCTATGTTCCTAATTTGCACCGACAACGCGGGATAAAGAAAGGCGCGTTTGGGCATTAGGCGCGAGATCGTGATGAATGTGTACTCTTCTTCGTCAAGAGTGCCAAACCGCGTGGTACCGCGAAGTTGTTCAAAAAACATCGGAGCTAACAGACGTTGGGAAATCGACGAAAAGTTGATCCGCTGCCGGAGGGAAACCATAGAGTTATTACAAGAAACGCTAGAGGCTCAGCTGGCGCTAGTGTCTACGGGACTTACGGTTGCAAATTGAAGCAGACAGCATGCAGTCTACATTTCCAGCCTCCCTGTGTATTCCTATGGGAAAGCGCGCGTGAAGTTTGTCTCTTCGCAGGAAAGCAACATGAATAACTTTTGTTATTTCGGTTGTACCGGATAGTATGCACCTTTACTCGTATTGTGAAAGTGAAATTGTTTTAGTTACAGCATTTTTCTTTAAAAACTGAACGATGCTAAACTTCGCCCTATTTCACGCCCAAACCTCTGTTGCATGGAAGGGATCTAAAACGAGTGACGATTTTAAGCAAACTAACGTTCGAAAGGAATGTAGAGTGTGTTCAAGGTTTGTTAGCATTTCGGTGGTGCTTTTATATTTCTAATATGCCCGTCCTGTCATTGGATGAAAATGAGTCCGTCGTGCATCTTTACGATCGGTTAAAAAACATTCGAACGCAAAAGATAAAGCACATGAGCTACGAAAGGTGTGTCGTTTTATTATTACCTATGTCGGGCAGTTTTTATCGGGCACCTGCTCTCTGGCTTCTCTCTATTTGCAAAGATTTGGAGCGTGCGGGTGATGATTGGAACCCAGAACAGGCATCTTCCCACATATTCATGAGCAGAAAGAATAAAGCAGTAGTTATTTATTGCAAATCTAACTACATTACGTAGCTTTCAATTCATTTTGATCGTCTGCATGCACAAGGAGTTACTTATCCAGTGTTACTGCGTAATTCTCGCCGTCTCTCTTGGTTTTCCAGATGTCCTTCGTTCGTTTCTCACGTATATTCCTCGTGCTAAAAAGCGCCCACGTCGTATTCGTGCTATGTGCCCGACAGTGCACAAAAATACGGAGCGAAGACCGCCGCCAGCGCCGAATATTCTCCCCGCGGTCAGAGCGTAAACTAAAAGTACGACACAGCGTCGACCAATCAGCAGACTGCAACGTCATAGTATTTTTGCAAACGACATTTAAAGCGTGAAATAGAAGTGTTCAATCAAATTTGGTTCGATCTCGGCGTCTCGGTGACAATTGCATCAATAGCAAATCAGCAGCAGTGATCGCAACTACGCAGTCTGCTCTTGTTTGGAGCGCACGTTCGTTTATTATACCGTTGAATATGGACGTGACGAAAACCTCACATGCGCCAAGTTTTCAGTCAGCAAGAGTTATAGCGTTTTACTCTAGCGACGCTAAAACGGCTTAAATTAGTGGAGCTTTCTAGAGCTCAGGACTACCGCTAGGGGCTGTTTTGAAGGCCTGTGGTTGGCCACGACATGCTCGCCTATTCAAACTAATGAATGGTCGAATTCTCCCAATACACGGCTCTTCGTGTTCCGCTTTCAGGCGTCTCTCGCTTGAGCCGAAGAGTGGTTTTTTGCTTAGGACGCGTCGGGGATTCACTAATGATGACGTCATGGACAGGCCTTTGTCTTCTAAATGGTATTCGCAAAGCACGCGTCGCGTGCACCTACGCTGGAAATGGCTTCAACCGGAAGGCTCCCGCGAGGACCCGGCGAAGCAAGCGTAAAGCATGACTCGGCATCTTTCATTCCAACATAGGCTGCCGCGTTACTTCAACTACTTAATCTCCAAGGTCTGAAGACTCCACTAATCTCCGCCTTCGAAACGGCGTTCGGTTATTTTACCGACCCGACCGCCGTTCATAATGCACGCTAAATACCGTAAGAATCTAATAGTAAGCCACGTTGATTGAAGGCAGAACACGTCAAGATGCGTATCGGGTGTATTTTGGAAGTTTGCGAACGGCGGTTAGGCCGGAGGATTTCTTGGGTCAGCTGTGCCATGAACGATGATCCGCGATCTGTAATCAGAACTTCGGGAGCGCCGCGCCGGAGTACGATGGACACGATGAAAAACTTGGCGACCTCACCAGCTGTCCCCGAAGGAAGAACTTCCGTTTCTGCGTAGCGCGTGAGATAATCGATCATTAAAGTCATTAAACGAACTTCGTTTGGAGTGTCGCCACTCCCTCCTCCGATTTTGTCACTAGAGCCGCCATGTTGGTGCTTAGTTTAGAGAGGGAGCAACCGTCGATCGTTAAGATTCGACAATCCGACTTCTTGAGCTTCGGGCACAGTGTCAGGAACGTCAGGAGATATCTTTTTGCTCTACCTGTCGCGGACAGTTCAAACAATTCTGGATCACAGAAAACCGTTTCCCGCAAGTTCAGATGAAGCTTGGGAAAGCTGCCTTTCTTATTTAGATACCGAAACTGTAACTGATTACGGTAACTTACATCCTTCTAATTAGTTACTTTACAACCTTGGTTTCATTCTGGGGTGAACTAAGGAGAATCACGAGACAGTTAGGTATCACGTGTTGCCTCGACGTGCGTCACAGCGCCCGAGACTCGCTCACTGACACGCCAGTCGGAGTGACAAACCGCGTTCTTTCAAACTGGCTTGTGATTGGACCTGGGTGTCCCCGTAGCTTTGGCCCTCATTGCAGGGTGGGACGAAGCATAAAGTCCGTGGACAGTGACACCAGTGAGTGCCGGCGGGAACTGTCGGGTGTATTCAACCTGAAGGTGAGAAATGTTTGTACCAGATGGCGGTCGTGAGCGCGAGACGAGTGAGGTAGCCTCTATTTATGCGGAGTACGAGTTCGTAAGCTACTTGCACAGGGGTTGAGACGATGTCAGAAGGCCGAGATCTCATTGGATTATTGAAACAAATAGTGGGTAGGCCTTAAGGCATCAAACATTGAGGTCTAGCCTCTATCCTCTCAATCAAAGCCCATCAGAGCTCGGCGTTGTTCTGACGTCACCGCAACTCGTCCGCAAGAAGCAGACGACTTGCTCTCCGCATAGAGTTCAATCACGGTCAAACTCACACAATGAAGAGCACTTGCCTCTCAATGGCGTCGTTAGAGGGAAAGAGTTAAATACAGAGACAAAAAAAAATTATATTAAAAGAAAACAAATAAATAATAACGATGGTGGGGTGCCACAGCTGCGAGACCCTGGAAGAAACGTTAGCCTTGCAGCTCGCCGACTTGAGCTGCAAAGGCTGCAAACTGAGAGCAGAGTGAGGGTTACGAAACAAGCAGCAAAACGCAAGTTACTTATTGGGGGAGAGACAAAGACAGCTTTAGCTACAACCTAGACACTAGACTGTGATGAGCGTCGACAACGCGTGCTTGTGAAAACAGCTCACGTTTTCACCTGGCCCTTTACGGTGTTCTCCGCTACGGCTAGCAGGTCAAGCAGGAAAAATGTCTACCTGCGTAAGTACCCAATTTTCATGAGAAATGATTTTAAAGCATTAGAATGTTAGTCAGTGTTAAATTTAAAAGTACGGGCAACGCTCACTCAGCTCCACGACGCCAATGAACACACTTAAAGAAGGGCGTCCGTCCGAAACGTCGTGTATACCTCCTTGTGCGCGTATTTTTTCGAGAAGCACAACCTTAATACTTGCGATTACGTGATCCAGCTGTCGGTGACAACAGCCACGCAGCCCTTATTCATTACCTTCTTATTTTTTATCATGAAGTGAAAGGTTACTTGCTTTGTCAAGAATGCACTCGGTAATGTTTAGAGTTGCGCTAAATCAAGTTCGATTGTCTTCCCGATGTTGTGCAGTATGATATGCATGTTTGCAAGTTCAAGATTACTTTAACCTATTGAGCTCGTGATTTGAATTACTATAAAGGTGAAAGTCGATACATAAGAAGATGTTTTAAGGGAACTGTTTATTAGCCATGATTATTCCGAAACTGTGTCAGAGATTTATTTTAAAATTACTTTAAATTTACAAATAGAAAGTGTAGAGTTTTGAAGAAATTACAATGACATTTTATTTGAGACATCTTAGAGTTCCTCTTCTTCTGTCGAAGACTCAGCAGCCTTGTGCACACCTGGAAAATGTAGCAAACTAATTTAATTGATATAAATAAAGTACAGAGGCAAGCTTGTGAAAACTCAACATATTGATAGCCCGAACCTTGGGAACAAAAAAAAAATGGTCACACACACAAAGAGATTTTTTCTCTTTTTTTTTTTCTTAAGCTGTCCACTAGCACTATATAACCTGCAATTTTTAATTTACGTATGTAATTTTAAATAGAATGATCATGTGCTTATATATATATATTACGTTATTGGTAAAAGTAAAGGTTAGCTCATGTTTAGTGGCATTCAAAGATAGTACCAGTTCTAAAGTTGCATCTGAAGCACTTTATCTTTTCACGAAGGTAAATGTGAATTCTTGCTCACCACAGCTATAGTTTACCGCTCTCCTCTCTGGTAGTTCCTTAACTATTTGGTACAGCGTATGCAGCGTGTGCCAATGAACGTGCACCAAAATTAAGAGGAACGGACCTCTCTATTTGAATGAAACCCACCATGTGTTGTTAGCAACCCCTTTGTAAAACCGCCAGTATTTTTATCGAGCCTAATTAATTATTTAATAATTATGACTAATTTTCTAGCCATATAAATATTAATTTAAGGGTCGAGGTGTCAGTACATCTTTTGGAAAAGTCCCAAAAGGCCGTGTGCACCGCGCGGCGAATGGTGGGAGTCCTCTGTACGCCCCTCCCATCGTCGTTCCACCCCCTAACACGTGGCATTCGCGAGCAGGCGCAGGTTACCAAGGCAACAACGTTCCAGCGCCCAAGTCGGATGAGCACGCGGCGATGGGGGAGAAAGTATCACGTTGGCTAGCTTGTGAGGCTGCCCCTTTCTCGTCCCTCTCCTTTGTACCACATACGTCGAGTGCTACACCAACACTTTGTAGAACCCAGTCGAACCCTGCCACGGTTGCGGTGGAGAATAAGTGGATTCGGTGACACTGCAATACGTGAAGGTAAATTACAACGCATCACGTATCCAAATAAATGAGTAACACAACGCAGAGGGGAGTCGACCCGGGTACCACAGGCAGCACAGATACGATACGCCGCCAACGACGTCGACGTTCCGGCGGATGGCCAGAATGGCGGAGAGCTACGACGGCTGCTGCTGGCGCGGCGGTAGCTGAGACGGAACGTGAAAGCGCGTGATCTGTATCAAAGGTTCCCAAAATACCCTGCACTCGTAGCGCTGTACGTAGTGCAACAGCTCTATCGGGGAAGCTATAGAGCGTTTTGGGAAACATTCGGTTCAGGCTTTTGCAACATGGTACGCTCTGGGTATCTTTTTTTTTCTCTCTTTTATGTTATTACGTTAGAACGCGTCTTCGCTACGCGCTTGCTGCGCTCTCGGAACTTTATGGAAGGAACGAATTCCGGCTTATATCTGGTTCGCTGCTGTATCCACATATTCCACAAAACGTCAGCATATGTTCGCGTCTGTATCGAGGCTACCCGGTCGACACCACAACGAATCCTTTTGAGGCTCCTCATTTAGAAAATAAGTTACATTTCCTCATGACTGCCGCTAGTCTATTTAGATAAATTCAGCTATGTAATTTTTTTTTTGTCAATTAAAATTACTTGTAGTGTTTCATGCCTTTTATATTTAGGCACGGAAGTCATATTTGTACTTATGAATATGTGTAGCGTCACCTTTAAGATTAGTGTTCTAGACAAATTAATAGTGTTTATCTTATTTTTTTAGTTGAATGTTTGGAACCCAGTAGTGTACGACTATATGCCGGAGCTTGCTTTAGCCAACTTCAATATTAATAGTCTGTTTTTTTTCCTTTTGTTGCTCTTTATTAACGGTAGATTCCTTTCAAGGCTTCCTATAAGAATATACATTTTACTTATATTAGCACGCGCGTCGCCGAGCGAGGGCGTGCGTGGCCGAGTGGTTGCCGTGGTTAGCTTTAGCCTTTTGTGTGGACGTCCCGGGTGCAGTTCTTGAAAGCGACGCGCCTTTTATTTTTTTTTATTTTTTTCAATTTAACGTTTTCGCAAGTTCAGCAACCTTGTCGTTTGATCAAGGTGTGAATGTTCTACGCGCCGAACGTTCTACGCCGATTGTTCCAAAAACCCACGTGGGCACATAAGGGACTCCAAATGGCAAGCCGGGGTTAGTCTCGCCCCAGCGCTCGATCCTGCTGTTCGCCGACATCGACACCTTCGGCGCTAGCCTTCTTGTAGGTTGTTTTGGGCACAATTTCGCCCCATTAAAACGTTTAGTTTATCCTGTTATTCGCTGCCTCATCATTTGTCATTCGTGACACTATCGAGACTTGTATCAAGACCGACCTCTACGAAAAATGGCTATCTTAGCCTTATTTAATCTCTATGCAGTGTTGATTGGTGAATCGCATATAAAATGGCGGGTTTAAACGGCGCCTTTGACGTAGTTAGGGTATTTGCGGTGACTGCATGAATCATAACTGTAAAACGAGCCCGAGAAATTGGCGCCTGCACATAGAAAACTCGAAATTTAACCGAATGTTCGTTGAGGTAGGCATCTGTACTCTCTGAAATTTCAAGGCAGAGTCGTCTTCCTGTAAAAACTAATACCTACAATTTTTTCTTGTCAACTGTGAACGAGTTCGTAGACGACCGAGTTAATGGAGAATGCCACCCGTGGCGCCATCTGCCGAGAGTCAAAGTGAGCAGATGACGCATTATCTCAGGTAGTACACTTCTTCTTTTGGGGCAAAATTTAGTTTCCGTCTGGGACTTTGTCACCTCAAAAAGTGCGAAGAAGCCAAAATAGAGCCACGCTCTACCTTTTTTGGCCACAGCCTGTGTATGTTGGCACATCTGTCAAGCATGCAGGTGCCAGCGTTAGGCTTCGCTGGTGGTAGTTTTGCTGTAATCTGGCATATTTGGGCCTAAATCGCCAAACACGTGCCAGAGATATACTTCACTTCTGGTTGTTCACTTCTCATGTGGTAACCTGTGACCGAAAATGCTGAAGGTGTCAGGTTTATACCTCACTGCTGATTCTTCGTAGTCATACGTTGCAACTTTGACTTAAGTCCAAGACTTTGGCAATTATGTGGTGAGCCAGAGAGACGTCATAGAACCGTCAAAGAAAGGACTCTGGCATTAACTAACTTCCTACAGAAAAACCGCATTAGACCAAAGTTGTGCCATTAGGATTGCGAAGCTTGTGCCAAGTTACTCCTTTTGTTCGCATGCTCCCCGGGTTGTTGTCTGCTCGCTACGCCTGTTGGTAGATGGCGCTACAAGATAAATTCAAAATTCGGTCATCTGCGAGCATGTCAGCCGTTTGCTTTGTCTAGCTTATTGGCCTCATTTTTACAGGAAGAGAACTACGCCTCGAAAATTCTGAAGATACCACAAACAACCTCAAATCACAAACGGTGAAAGTTTGGATTTTCTATCTGCAGGTGGCAATTTTTGCGACTTGTTTTACAGCGTACAATTCCATCTAGCCAACTATTACAACGCCGCCTGCATGTCGCATTTGGCAGTGTACGCGGGCAGTATCAGGGACGAGATTGTTCTCGTTTCCTAAATGCGTCGCTTTTCAGCCGGTCATCCTCATCCGATTTCTCATGAGCTCATGTGCGTTTTGAGAAACAAAAACTTTCGTTACAATAGAAAATAGGAGATCCCATGTACTGAATACCATCGATGATCGACCTCGAATTTCACGTTGTTGGCCTTGAATAACAATATTTCAGAAAGTGGAGGATAAGCAGTTTTATATCTTATTTAGCGCATATTTTCATTCTTCATCAATGGTGTGTAGAAACTATATAACATATCAATTAAAATTGCCGAAATTCATATTTATGTTTTTTGTGTTTATTAAGATAGGCATTTTCAAATACTTTAAATATCACTGAAGCATGGTGCCTTTTACCCATTGTAGATCCCATGATTACTGTATTAAAGTAACAATAATCGGAATAAAGTGTTTCACTTACGCTTGCAAAGTTTTTCGCATTCCTCTTTGGTAGCGAATAAGTTAGTTGTGCCGGTGCCTTTCCAGAACGTTGTTTGTTTAGTTTTTTTGCACTCATTTCTAGTTATATCATAATACCACCTGGTTTTTCCGATCCACTTTCCCAGTTTTCCTTTATCTGGCTTCATGAGACAGCGGCGATTTAAGTCTTCTGCAAACAAATATAAACATGGCGGTAAGTTGCCGCTGCAACACGGGATGACAACGGGCTGTATTTGGTTAATTGTTCAATTGCTCACTGATTCCGGTTGATATATAAATTCCTTAAATCTGATTTCAATGCAAACTGATGTTATTGTATTTTCCACGCATATTTTAGAGTGGAATAATTTATTTACATACAAAGAGCGTTTTTATTTTAAATTTAACAATTCGTTTTTAGATGGGGTGAAAGAGGAGAGTGGTTTTTACCGTGTATATTTATTAGGTTTGACGAGTATTATATTGTAAAATAATACTCAGGGTGCGTTGACTAACTAACTAAACTGTGCTAATTAACGTTTTAATTGTTGGTCTTGAGGTCCCATTGGAATTGCATTATTGACGGCAATTATCATTGGAGGCCAGAATAATTTAAAGTACTTGCAAGAAGTAATGAATTTTAAAATATTAACTGAATAAATTTTCCGTTTCTTGACCGATCTAAAATATCGCGCAAAAAGAGCACCACAAGCAATGCCAAAAATGTCGCTTAAAAGAGTGGTATAGTCGTTTCAATCATGTCGTCACTAGTGTCGTCGGCAAATCCACTAAGGACACGCTGTCAGGATAGTGAATACTTGATTGAAACGACCAAGTAGCTTTTCAAAGCGTCGTTGTGGGCAGGGCTCGTGGCAACCCATTTGAGCTGAATGTTTAGGTTGGGCGACTAAAACCTAAATATTGATCGGTTGTTATATAAATCAACAAATCAAACATCAAAATTTCGCGATTTTTTTAAGCTGGTCTGGCCTCTTAGTGTAACTGCCATCAATACTCTTTTTTAAATGACCCCAAAAGCCAACAATTAAAATAGTTCATTAACTAGCTTACAACAACGATCCCCTATCTAATGCCCGCCGAGTCCGATAATGAGATGGTGACGACAGCAATCGTCTCTCACAATCTTTTTTTTTTTTTTCATGAATGACAGTCTTAAATAAAATAAAACGCCTTCTATAAAATTGTACCTGCTAAACTATCGTTATATGAATGAGTAACACAATTTATTATCTAGGTTTCAAATGATAATATTTGAAATGCATATCAGTCGAACCACAATATATTCAGGGTTGAATATAATGGAGCACTCAGTATTTTTATGCTGAAATTATTATCAAAAGATGTCATATTGTCCCGTGCACCTTCTATCGCTTCGTTTAACTTCAATTATCACCCCGTTAAGCTTTGAGGGCTTACACTGCTGAAGTTGTCAAGATGCAAACAGTCAATAAACAATAGGTTCATATTATATTCAAATAAAGAAAAGCATTTTGATTATATTTTAAAGAATATGAGCTCGAGAGCGTGTGTGTTTGTGTGTGTGCGTGTGTGTGTATGTGTGTGTGTGTGTTTTTCCGCGACTCTACATGCGTGCCGGCTTGTGCGCGTATGGTTGTTTTCCAGTGTTTTTTTTCAACAGGTCGTTCTCGGCCCTATCTCTCCTTTATAATAATGATAAGAATTATAATAATAATAACCCGTTGATGCTACGTTTACAGGGATAGGCTTAGTTTCTCGATTATGTCGCTAAGTTTCTCTGCCTTTTTGTATATTGCATTTGTTTAAGCGACTAGTTAGATCACGGTTAGAATTTGGCTTAGTCATCTGGAATTCTTTATCTATATCACCTCCAGGCAACTGCAACTGAAAACTTACAGAAACGAATAATAAGCATAGTACACGACCGCAATATTGTAAGAGGGCGTCTTTATCATTATGAAACGTTCAAAGAAAGTTCGCGCTACACAAGCTTTGCTTAAGGAGGCAGCTCAGAGACTTTATATTTAGTCACAAATTTGTCCACATCCATGTTAATTCGATAGATCTATTACGATCTATAGACTTCCTTTTTCCGTAAAGCGTCAGAAGAAATATATCAGCGTTTTATCCATCTTGCATGTCCCCAGTATCCCCTTTGTCGCGGATTCAGTTGGCCTTCAATAAAATACAGCATCTGGATATTTCCATGTGCCTTGGGGATTTTACCCTGGTTCGCGAATGGACGTTGATCGCCTAAATACGGTAAGACGACTTGTGTTGTGTTTTAGCAAACTTTGGGCTCTTCTTACTATATTACGTGCACCACTGTGAAGACTGTAAAGTTCTTTGGGGGCACAAAAAATAAAGAAATGTTATTATTATTATTATTATTACTATTATTAATATTATTATTATTATTATTATTATTATTATTATTATTATTATTATTATTATTATTATTATTATTATTATTATTATTATTATTATTATTCATGGCGAGGACCTGATGCAAATCATGAACGACCTATCTCAAAAGCTTGATGTTCCAACACCTCAGCCTTCGGACATCCTGGCAATTCATCGCCTTACAAAAAAACCTGACTCAGTTCCAACAGTTCTGATAAATTTCACCTCTGTCGCCATAAAGAATTCTTGGATGTCTGCACGAGGAAGGCTACGCAAACTGTGCCGGTCTGAAGATCAACCGAACTTATTCTTCAATGACAACCTTACACCAGCGAATAAAGAACTTTTTTGGCTGGCGAGAACTCAGAGCAAAAAACATGGATACCGGTTTGTTTGGACAAAGAACTCTAAGATTTACGCAAAGAAAGCCGAAGACTCGACAGTCGTTCGCGTTAACACACAAAAGGATCTAGTGCAACTGGTCTAAAGTATGACCATTTGTTTGTCGGTTCCAAACTTTTATTCATTTAATCAACTGTTGGGACCTGTTTCTGATAACACTTTCACGATTATTCACGTAAATGTTAGAAGTTTGCGTAAGCACTGGGACGAGTTCCGTGCTCTAATAAGTAGCTTAAACGGATCTATAGATGTTTTCGTTCTAACTGAAATTGGTATTTCATCTTTGCAAAGCAATCAATATATTTTAAATGCTTATAGGGAGTTCTTTCACACCCGTGACCATGGTAGAGGCGGTGGTATTGCAATATACGTTAAAGATAAGTGGTTACCGGTGAGTCAGAACGTAAATTTGGCTCATGCTGAATCACTAGCTGTTCACATTTCTCTGCCTGGTTTCTCCATATTCTTGCTCGCGGTCTACAGGCCTCCTTCAGAAAACGTTTCGCTTTTTCTTACTGAGCTAGATGTCGTGCTAGACAAGTTTCGCTCGGAAGGACAATTTTGCATGGTAGGCGATTTAAACATTGATACTCTTAAACCAAATAAATCGATAGTCTGCGATTATTTGACACTGCTGTCAGAATATGGCATTGAAAATACTATCACCCTACCCACTAGAGAAGAACTGCTGGCGGGACGGTTAGTAACTTCCTGCATTGATCACATAAATATTCGGGCCCCTGATATATCAGTAAAATCTGCCGTAATTACTCAAAAACTATCCGACCATTACTTCACAGGCTGTCGTCTAGATGTACCAGTAGGTGAAGAGCAGATATCAAGGCGCGATTCTTCGTATGTCTCAATTATAGATACAATTACATTTGATGCTTTGGTCTCTGCCTTTGACTGGAGTGAATTTCTAATGACCGTCGAACCCCACCAAGTTTACAGTGCCTTTGCTGCGATATTTCAATCATTTTATAGTACCTCAAGAAAAAATATCAAATTCAAGCAACGATCTGATAAGCCTTGGTTTAATACTGACATCATGACTGCAATCAAGGAAAAAGATGTGTCGTGGCTACGTTGCCGTCATGCCCCAAAAAACGTGGAACTAAGAACACAGTTTCGAAGCGCTCGAAACAAAGCCAATGCGATCATTAGGTCTGCTAAACGACGCTACTTTCAGAAAAAGTTTTATGAATTCCGATCGAATGCACGCGAAACATGGAAGCTGATTAACTCTTTTAGAGGACACGGAACGAAAAAATCTCTCCTTGACTTTCTTCAACAACACTTTGGTTCCGATCTTCAATCTGTTGTCAACGACTTCAACAAGCTTTTCGCTACTTCACCTGGCATTGCAAGAGATGATAACTTTATAGCTTTGAACTCGAGTTTTATTAATGGTATGTCTAAGTCTGCGTTTCTTCCTCTTCTCACTATGGACACACTGCGATCAATTTTGTTTTCTTTAAAATGCAATAAGTCTCCTGGTATTGATGGCATTCGTATTATTGACCTCCGCCGCAACATTAGTCATATTCAATACGTGCTTCTCACCATAGTTAATGAGATTCTTGATTCTGGTGTAATTCCCAATGACTTAAAGACCGCTCTTGTTAAACCAATTTTTAAAGGAGGAGCTCCGGAAAAAAAAGAATGTTATCGCCCAATCTCCATCTTGCCTTGCATTGGCGAAATTATAGAAACACATCTCTATATTGTGATGTCCGGCTTTATTGAAAAGTCAAACCTGCTCTCTCCCAACCAATATGGTTTTGTCACTGGGAAGGGCACCCAACCTCTGCTTGAAAATTTTTCTGACCTTTTACATCGGGCTTTTGAACAAAATTTATATTCATGTGCTATTTTTTTGGATGTTGCAAAGGCCTTTGACACGGTTAGTCACAAAGTACTACTTTTTAAACTGCACAACTACGGCTTCCGTGGACCATTTTTTTCCTTACTTCAAAATTTTTTTCTTGATCGTACTCAAGTTGTATCTATGGGAAACTTTAAAAGTGATCGGGTCAGGTTAAAAGCTGGTGTGCCACAAGGGTCAATTTTGTCACCTTTGTTATTTAATCTTTTTGTTAATGACATCTCAACCAAGCTTACTAGTTGCAAAATTTACCAATATGCGGATGATACCTTACTTGTTTCTAGTCACGTCAATTACCACCAAGCTGTACGCGCGCTGCAACAAGACGCCACGCGAGTAATGGATTGGTTCTTTGAGAATTTTATCACTGTTAACGCATCTAAAACTAGACTTGTGTGCTTCAGGAATCCGTTAAAGCAAGTGAATTTGGACGAATCTCTTGTTTTGCACAGATCCAACTGCCAAGATTGTACGTGTGCCCCCCTAAAATACGTTGAGACCGTAAAGTACTTAGGCATAGTTTTTGATTCAGATTTATCATGGACAACGCATTTATCGTATGTATCTGGAAAGCTTCGATCCGTCAGCTGCTTACTTTATAACAATAAGATATTTATGACATTTGCCGTAAGAAAATCAATTACATATGCTCTTGCTTATAGCATACTCAGATATGGAATCACATTATTTGGTAACTGCGCAGAAACTTGGAAAACAAAAATTGACAGAATTCTTAAAAGTTTGTTAAAAAGCGTTGGGTATCATTTCGATCTTCCATTAGATGCAAACATCTTTGAGGCTTTACAGTTGCCGAACTTTCGTTCACTCCATCTTCAATCTGTTGTGATCTCTCATTTTTGGTGTAATGATTTCAAGAATCCCCTTGTGTCTAGCAGGAATTTGCGTAGCTCAGAGCGTTTCATAACCCCCCGATGTTATACGAGATATGGTAAACGAGTCCGTTCCTACTATGTGCCATATATATTTAATAGACTCCCTGATTCCATTTTTAAAGCTACCACTAAGAGAAAATTGAAAAAATTGTTGACCAATTTCTCAGTGTAATTCTGTTGTAGAGTTCTGTTCATTACTGCTCGTTGTGTGTGTGTGTTTTTTTAATTTTTCCACTGTTATTTTGACTGATTATTTGACTGAAATTACTGTCAGCTTTTTGCTCCCTATGTGTTCCTAGGACTTCTTTGCAATTTGTGTCATTTGACTTGTTGGGTTCTGTCCCTCAAGCCTCCACTGGCTTCGACAGACCCGTTACTTTACTCTGTATCGAAGATATGCGAAATAAAATTATTATTATTATTATTATTATTATTATTATTATTATTATTATTATTATTATTATTATTATTATTATTATTATTATTATTATTATTATTGATATTTAAATGTGGCCTGTTCAAGATAGGTACAGAACACGATCACATGGCATGACGGAGGATTTCAGACATTACAAAAAAATAACGTTTTAGCAGTCAGAAGTTCCACATGACCGCCTCTAATTAAAGTATCCACTCGTAAAGTTGCAACTAGGCCAACGATATGTAATATGATATATATGACTTACTTTTGCATGCTTTGGCGCACTCGCTTTCCTTGTAGAAGCCGATACCGTGATGATCGCAACCAGTGTATTCCTTGCATGTTTTGTCATTTTGATCGAACATAAATCGTTTGCCATATTGGCTACACATGCCGAGGTCCTGGGCAGGTAGCTTGCATTTGTTCTTTACAAATCCTTGTTGAATGATGCGTAATAAAACATATGTCTTATGTGTTCAAGCTTGAAACATCAAAGTATCACTCCAGCAGTCACTCAATTGCAAGTAATAACGATTACAGAAGTTCAAAGGATGTTTTGTTTTAGGGGAAGCTTGTCACATTGACGGCGACAAACTATATTATGAGTAGCTTGTACGCCCTGTCCTGTGTTGACTCACTTTCTTTTCCATGTTTTTTTTTCTCCTTTCGTAAAATCTTATCAAGTTTTAAGCTTGCAAGAACAGACAGTCTGTATATTGCCGCTAGAGACCTTGCTTCATTCTAGTAAACAATATAAGCCTGAAGGTGTTAATTCTTTCATACAAAGAATATATTAGCACAACTGCTGTGATTATAGCCAGTGAATAGAGCACTAACCTTTATGAAAAAAGGCAAATTACTTTGCTGGCCTTTAATGTCATTAAATTTGTAGGAACGATTCAATGTCCGCCATAAAGCAAACATACTATTGTTATATTTAAGAAACTGCCAGTTAGTACATGTACAACCGCCAACAAGTGCAGTTATTTAATGAGGTAAATTACAAAATAATAAACAATATGCTTCAGAGACACATGTACCAAAATACCAAAAGACGACAAAAAAGGTCTGTCAGCCACGTAATTCATATTGCGATGCGCGTCGCTGACTGAGCGCGTACGTGGCCGAATGGTTACCGTGCTTGGCTGTCGTACGGGGGATCTGGGTTTGATTCCAGGGAGCGGAATTTTCTGTTATATAATATTTCTACTTGTTCTCGCAAATCCGAGAACTTTTTCCTCTGATCAAGTTGCGAATGTTCTACGCGCCAAACGTTCTAGGCTGAATGTTCCAGAAGTCCACGCGGCTACAAAAGGTGCTCTGCGTGGCAAGCCGGAGTCAGGTTTGCCCCCCCCCCCCCCCCCCCCCCCAGCGCTCGATCCTACTCTTTCGCCGATATCGACGCCCGCGACGCTCTATTCTAATCTTCTGTGTCTGTTTTTGTTTCGGGCACAAGTTCACCCTTTTAAACGTTCAGTTTCTACAGTTATTCGCCGCCTCATCATTTGTCATTCGTAACAATATGACGATAGAAGGCTTTTTATCTAAAAAAAATGTAAAACAGCTTTTGATTTAGCTGCATTATTTTCTTTACACGCTGCGCGCAGAACGCTAAAATTTTATGGCTTTTCAGCCCGCTCTCTTTTTAACCTTAGTAACATATATCAAGCCTTGTTGCGTTTTTTTTTTATATCAATATAAAGGGGATGTTTTCTGTGCTAACTTTAATTTCCTAAGCGGTAGCTAAACAATAGGTAGTAGTTTCGAACGCGCTATAAAAATGACAGAAAGCTGTTTATGAGCCCAAAACAAAAAGGAAATAAGCGGAAACGTAGTCTCGTAGGAAGCATTCTTGCCGATACAATATTGTCTTTTAACGTTGCGGCGATGTTTTAATAAGAACTTATATTCCTTGAGGCAGCGTACCTTAGGAGGCTCAGTAAAATTAGGGTGAAGTTTTGAAAACATGCTGTAAAAGGACAACGATATGATTTGAAAATATTTCTCGAGTGCAGTTTTCCCAGTAAACGGGAGTACCACGAACCATGTTCCATGTACCATGCTTTAGTAGGATGTGCTGTAAAGACTTTGAATTCAAAAATAACACTTTTATCTAACAAAAGAAGTAACAAAAATAGTTTTGCAAGTATTTGTTAAAAATCAACTTCCTGGAAATTTCAGGGTGACATCCGATCTTAAGCTAAGTGACTTAGGTAAATCAGACTCAATAAATTCTAAGCCTTTTGGCGAAACGCTTGATGCCGTTCGGAGGGTTCCAGAAGGTATCATTGCAGGTTCTTCATAAAACCTCTCACCGCATTCATGGTATTGTTCGGCGTACACCTGACATTATTCATATATTCTTACAAGGGTTACTAACTATTGAATACGAATATCAGATATTCACTCAAAAATTATAAAGTAAAATACACAAATAAACATGGACCAGGGCCTTACTTACTTCCACAGCGTGCGTAGCAGGCATTAAGGGTTAAGAATGCGTTGTCTCCCTCTCGACATAGGTATGTGTTATCAAGATAGCAAGTTTGGCTAGTTCGATTGTACCGATAATATCGGGTGCCATTTCCCTTGCATTCCGTATCAGTAGGTAGCTGTGCGCAAGGGCCGAAGTCGGGATCTGAAAGAAAATGAGGTAATGTGTACTTTACAGTTTGAAATTCAACCAATTATTATGAGGTCAGCATTTGATGCCACAGAGAGAAGAAAAACACACAAAAGCAACAAGAAACCAGGCAGAGCGTGCACTTCTAGACATTAAAAGAAATAGTTTCTATATTTGCGTAATTACTATTAATACGCAATTAAATGTTGTCGATTCCGTAGATGCCAAATAGGTATCAATTTTTTTTAGGAGCATCTCGTACACCTTTGCACTCAAAACATCTGAACAAAAGCATAGTTTTAGTTTTAGTTTGTAGGCTGTCTGTCGCCAGCGGCCTTACCTTTTAAAAATAAAGTAAACGGAATCTAGATAATGACATTCAAAGCAATGTGTACCAATTCATAACGTTCACTAAAAGACGCGGCCAGCAATTTAATAGTCTCCGCCCAGCGATGCTGGCCTCAATGCCTTATAACTTCGAGACGGTCAATTGAAGTCTGTAATTAACTTTTTTTCATTTTTTTTTCAAGGAAATGGATCGAGCCTTTCGCACTGCCTGCGTGAAAGCACATCTTCATACCGCAATCTTGCAAATCGCCGATTAAAATAAGTCGTTAATTTGTCCAAAGAGTTCAAGTTTACAGGAGCGTCCTCGTTCCTGTGTAAGCACAGGAGCGAGCACACACGCGGGAACTAACTTGTGTGCTTAATATAGCCTTCCCCTAGCATCTGAAAACGACGCCTTTCACTTTAAATCTCACAGATGCTAACGCGCAAACAAAGCTAGGGAAATGCGAAAGCGTTGTGCTAAAAGTTCTCTTCATTCTCGAACATTTCACAAAATCCCGACAACGCTACGGCGACAACTGATGCTGTCTCACATGTGCTAACATCTAGTGCGATCTTACGCAAAATACGTATTATTTTCATTCCTTTTAAATATTCGCGTTATACCTGCGTCAGAGAGCACGAAGAACTCGGATATTATGGTAAACAGCCACAGTTTACAACACCTTAAGACACCGAACCAACTCGCACCAACAGAGTCTAGGCGCTGTCATCTTACCGGTTACGTCACATATTTGTTGAGGTCACGCGACGAACAGTAAAAAGTGTGTGCAACATAGGGAAAGCCGGGGGCGGAGGGGGGGGGGGTACTTTCGGGCTTCCGGTTGAACACACTTAGCTGCTCTAACTTGTTCCAAGTGAATTATAGCTTTAGCAAAATAAGATTATATGGAGCGCCCAAAAGTGAAAAGCTGACTATAAATATACTTCCTTTTATTCTCATGTTTACAATCGACTGAGCAAACCTTTATCTCATGTGCATGATCAACTAAGCAAAAGTCTAGTTTTGACGCCCCCAAAGAATGTCACGCTTGGAGCGTGAACACAATAATTTATGCAGGTGCAACGAGTCATTCGTAATTTTTTCATACATAGAAATATTCATAGTGCTATAGTAATAAGTTATAATTTGCATCATACATATATTCATTGCTGATGGCATACACACATATAAGTGAGGATTTAAATAAATAAGAATATTTTATGTATACCGCTATTCTTGTTGACTTCTTAAACTCATATATACTTTTGGAGTGAAAAAATTATTTATTACCTCGGCATATATCCAAACAGTCCGCTTCTTTATCAAAGACATTGGAGTCTTTGGTTGTTTCCGCATTCCAGTACAACTTGACACACTTCCCTCGGGTTGAATTGTAAGTCCACTTAGTAGGATGTTCTACTTTGTCGTTTCCCCTTGGTGTATCAAAACAAAATCTTGGCACGTGTCCTGTGGGAAAACGTAAACTAATATGAAATAAAAATAAAAAGATCGTGTCCAAAATATTTGCTGCTAAAAATTTACGTTTTACGTATCACTTCATAGATTACATCTCCCTTTATTAGTAGTTTACCCAGGTGATACCCAAGGTCTAAGTAAGTCATCGGTCACCGAATGCAAAATTTAAAAGCACTTTCATCCAAAAGATTAACATAATATTAAAAATTACTTTGACTTCGTTTTTTTCTAAATTATATGATTTAACTTCCTCATAATCTATTTGAAGTTGTAAACAAAAAATCAAGCCAGATACTCCGGGACTACTTACTCCTGCACGTTTTGCTGCAATCTGATAACGATGAAAATCTGTTGGAGTTTTCATTTTCCCCGGATGCGGCACCAAACTCGTAGTACTGACACAGGTCAATACTCTCATTGTAGAACCAGCCGGCAATAAGTGCTTTGCCTGGCTCATACGGAGGGTCCATTTTGCAAACATCCGTTTTAATCTCACTCGTACCGCATTCAGAAAAACCTATAAAAACCACACAGTTACATCAATTAGCTGAAGACGCTGATGCATGTACTACGGCAAGAATGCATTCATACATTTCTTATATATCCAATATGCGTTTCAAGTTTATAATGTGTAACCGATATGCAACAGAAATGTTTTTCAAGGTGAAAAGTCACTTCTATGTTTGATTTTCATTGGAGCTGTAAAGTTAATTAAATGCTACATGTGAGTACAAATGAAAATTTTACTTCTAATTGTTCATATAGCCATGGGCAGTAGCAGCTCTGCACTTTCATGAATTATACTTATTCAACTAAAATATTCATGCAAACTTTAAAAAAAAAATTAGAAAATGAAACTTACCAAATGCTGCTGCAACGAATATACAGAGGTACTTCATCTTCATATTAACACTAATCAGAATAGCAAGCGCTTCGATTATGACACTAGTTTAGCTGCTCGTACTAGTGTCTAAACTTGCTCGTTTATATCTGCTTTACCTGCAATTCTTATAGAATGCAAGGGTAAATATTAAAAAAAAATAATAAAAAATAAAACCATAAAATGTAATTGCTGGACATGCGCACGCCACCCTTCCGGTATGACGTGCGCATGAATTGACGTTGTGTTTACGTCTTCCGGGTTGCTTCACGCATTGTGGTTACGCAGTTTCAACATTCATCTGAATTATAACGCGAGGTCAACTTCCTGCATTGTTCACGCCGGCCGCGAACAAAAGCATTTGCTCAAGACCATTCTACATGAAAGAAATGCCTCTGACAAACACGATTTCCGCAGTTTATGAAAAGATTCTTCGCTTAAATATGATACTCAAAAAAAAAAAGACAGTTCGACCCTCACTTTGTGATCTATGTATTCATTATAAGTTCAAACAGATATACTTTTTACGGTCGATCATTCGGTGGAACCCTATGGTTAGGGCCCTACATTTCCGGGGACTACCCGCAGATCATCCGTGGATATCCGCAGTAAACTGGAGGATGCGGATAAAAATGAAGAAGCTTAGGCAGATTGCGGATCGGATAGGTATGCAAGGAGCTGCTAATGCGTATCGGATACGGACATCCGCGGGTCCGGATCTACATTTTTACCGAGGCGAATAAACGTGTGCGACCGCAAGGTGTAGCGTGAAAAGGTGAATGATACGGAAACTTGCACCAGCTCGCGTTTCCGTTCCTCACTTTTGTACCGCAGTTCGTGCATGCCATCCCAACATCAAATGCACAAACGGAAATATACTTCTCATCAGCGGGCGTTAATTTAAGAGAGGCGAACCAGTCTCGATCCGCCCATGCTGACGGTATTCTGTTTCTTCTACACGTGAACCTCGGCCACTAAAACGTAGCGCGTGTGTTCGTATTTTTGTTCTCCTATTTTGACAGTTGACATGTTGTTTCTAAGTATGTTATTCTGACCATGCAGTTGAGGGTTTGTGATAAACACTAAAACCGATAGGAGCTGTTTTAATTATCTAATATTGTGATATTGTTTCAGCGGTGTGCTCGCGCCTTAGGTACGAGTACTCTGCTGCTGTGAGTAATCGCTGTTCCTCTCCCACTTTTTTCATTGTTTGGTCGAAATAAACTGACGCAAATTCCTTTGTTAATTATTATGTTTAAAAACTATGCGTCTGCTTAAAATGGGTTTTACAGAGCAAAAAGAAACAATTAAAATGTATTTCCTTTTGAGCGCATCTTCTAGACAGCTCCAGCGTCACAGACTCCCAAAACGATCTCATAATTCCGATCTTCTTCCTAGAGATGCGAAGTGTCTCTAGAAGTTTGATATAGCTTATAAGAGAAAACAATAAAACAAAATACGACAAAATGACTTGCACCGTATCCTGACACCAAACGTTCAATGCACAAAAGTAAGCAGACGGATTATAGGAAGGGTTCTGTGTTTCTGGATAGATCCGAAAAACTCCTTAAAACAACCGCCGGCAAATTTTTCATCAATTTTGATTTATCCGATAAAATCCGAATTCCAATCTACCAACGCGAAAAAAAGACGGTATTTTAGGTTTGGTTATTGGTCCGCAGAAAATGCCGTCCGTGGTTTCTTTCAAGTTTCGGACCATTGAAAAAATGGATCTTGCCATTATCTCAAGTTCATTCAGAACAACACGTCATCGTACTTTCGTGTCGTGACAAAGGCCATTGTTCCGATTTCCAGCTTGAGTCATGCTATTTGTGCTGCTTAGAGAATGGAGGGGTTGCGTTTTTGTAACATTGAAAGTTCTTAAACATAGACATTTTATAGAAGATGAAAAAGGGGATGGGCAGTTGAGGATTTTATATTACACCCTTTACCAAATCACAACGCACAGCCGGGAAGAAAGTTAATGGATGTGGTGGAATTAATACGAGCTTCTCAGAGAATACCTCTAGGAGTTTAGTGATTTCCAGGTATCGACATACATCGAAGGAACATTTATGTGCAACGTTTATCGTGGGAAAAATTAGTACTGCCAATGGCAATGGCGCCATCGCTAAATACACCTAAAGAAGTATTGATTGATACAAGCGCGCTCCCTTGAATCTGGCATACGTTTACACTAGTGGGCTATATTTTGTAAACGGCTTATTTTTCGCGGGCTCACTTTTTCGCGATTTAGGTCAAAGCGGAAGTTTTTGAATAATTCGCGAGTTTTAATTTTCGCGATGCTGTGGGATCTCAATATAGATTCCAATGTGTTTACATTTTACCGGAATGGTTCGCGAGACCCATTTTTCGCGAATTGTAGGCGATTCGCGATATTTGTGAAAATTAGGTCCTCGCGAAAATTAGGTCGATTAGAGTATTTTTATTTTCGAAAAATAAAAACAAAAAACATTGCAAAATTTAGCTCCGAATTTCTAAGAGATATGAATCAAACAAATTTAAACTTTGATGAACCTCCGTATTTGACCAAGCATAACCTCCGAAAACACGGAATCCTACTTATAGAATATCATACAGGCGATTTTATTTTTATCCTTGATTTCATTATTTAAAATGAAGGCGCGGATTGCGGATAGGATGCGCTATTCCGAATTTCGCGGATCCGGTTCGGATGCGGATGATCACACTGTTATCGGTGCAGGGCTCTACCTGTAGCATGGCTGTAAATAATAGCATCGTCAATAAATATACCTAATGATGTGATGGTACAAGTACTCCTTACATTATATTTAACTTTTTTTTAGAAATGCATAACCTTTGGTCAAACTGAACTTGTAAATAATTTTAAATTTTAGGATTTTTTGAGGCAGACGTGCATTAAAAAAGTTCATATTAACATTTCATTTTTTTTTCAACCGTTGAAGTACAAAATTTGTTTACATTGCAAAGTAAAATAACGGCACCGAATATGTTCTAGAACTGTCATTCCAAACGACAAGGGACATGAGTACTTAACGAATGGACTATGCGTCAGCAAGCAGATAAATATTATTCTACAGGTGTGAACATCATATTAGTTTCTTTACACTTCAGCATAGGTCTGATAATGTTCATCGCCATAAATACAACTTTCATACACCGTAAGTGTGCCGTCCGTAAAAATGAAATTATTAACAAATGCAGCGTAAGTACGCTCCCAACTGGTTTATACTTAGTTGCATGTGCGTGCAAACACCAAAACAAAATCTAAATAGCTCCCCTGGTCACGTTAAGTACCATGCTGCATTAACAAGTTTTCACTAGTCTTATATAGAGCTCCTAGAATGATAGCGCGACATATTGTTTGGTCAGCGTCACAGCCCAAACACATGGACTGATTTTACGCGTTCTTCGGGTATTCGTTTGTCCAGCTGCTGCTTCGTGATCCGATCTAAAAAAGGACCCGCCAAGACAGTTAAGTTCAGATCCAATTTCTTTATTTCTCTCCACTTAGAAAGGGGTGGCAGAGAAAAAAGCAACTCAGTGTTGCTTGAGAAGCCTCTTTCCCCCATACAACAGCAGAAAGGAAAAGCACACACACACACATACATACACAAATATTATATGTAACAGTATTAATATAATTAGCAACAAACAATATTAGTATCAAAGATAGCAAAAGAAGAAATAAGCCAAATCGTAGAATCACTTCGTGATCTAACTATGCAAAGAAATATTTAGGAAAGCCCCTAATAAAAACAGAGTGCACCTATTTTCGAGTTCTACTCAAAATCTTTATGTTAAATTCACAAGAACAATTTAGAAGACGAGGTAGTGTAGATCTCAACATATGATTTCCGTAAGTGGTCCTGGAGAGCGGTACTGACCATATATCTTCACTACGAGAATTTTAAGTAATTTTCTCTGAACCCAAGGTGGGGGATTGATAGGAAAAAAATGATTATGACACAAGGACTTGTTGTTTGAAAGGGCAAGTTTATAACTCTAGTAATTGGTAACTTGCACAATAGTGAATTTTTCGAACAATTGTTTCGTATAACTATTATAGTCAGTGTGAATCGCCCTTTTTTGGCGAATATGTGTTTGTTGGCTATTTGCCTTAGTCGCATTTCTATATACTAAGTAGCAGTAGCTATAATGAGCGAATAAAATTGTAAATAAGTATCATACCGGAGCTGGGAATCGTGTAACGACATATGTCTATAGTACCCACAGCCTTGGAGAGTTTACTTACTACACGTGTATTGCACCCTTTCATTCCAAAGCATGTTTTGATTTAAAAATACCCCAAAACTTTCACACTCTCAACTATATATCAATAGTGCAAGTACCAAGAGAAATCAAATACGTATAGCTACAAGTTCTATACCCAGATCTAAAAAAGGCGGCCTTAATTTTGCCACATTTATTTGCAGGGATTTCGATAATGTCGAAGCATTTAGTTTATGAAAAAAAATATTAGAATTACTAATTACGGGATCTGTGTTAACTCTTGAAAACAATAAACGCGTATCATCTCTATTAATATTATAATTCACACTCTCGTCAATTTGAACCACATCATTTTATATACAGGTTGAAAAGGAACTGCTCCAGAATACTGCCCTGTAGCACCAGAGCGGATAGCGGCTTAAGATTAGATATTTGTTTATTTCTTTGAACACACTGATATCGGTCATGAAAATAACTCTTTATCATTTGTGAAGCAACACCACGAGCACCATAAAGATACAACATTCTAAGCAATCTGTCGTGATTTATGCGGTCGAAGGCCTTTGTAAAATCAATAAATATTGCAAGTGTCCTCAGTTTCCTTTGGATATTACTTAAAAGTAATTGCTTTTGTTTCAACAATGCTAGTTCGGTCAAGCGACTTTTTCTAAATCCGTATTGACAGGGTGTAGTGATTGAACATTTTTTACAGAATGCGTATAGCCTTTGATGTATAATATTTTTAAGCCTTTGGAAAAGATAGATAAAAGGAAAATAGGTCTATAGTTTTTAAGTCATTTTTATCGCCCGCGTTTTATATTACCGTCACCTTGGCAACCTGCATGTTTTTTT